ATCAAGTTTGTGCGACATTTGGACGGACTTCGAAGTTCAAATGTGCAGTCAGATGGAATATGGTAGTCGGCTGTGTCTGCACTATTGCCATCTTCCTGTGCATCTGGAAGTGAGTGGATTATTCTTTGCCAACTGAATAAGAGACAGCATAAGTTTGAATAATAGTCAGCCCCACAACCCCTAAAATTCATATTAACTCTTTCCACTTCTGCTCCACTATTGAATATGATTCAATGTGATTGATTTGTGATTTCCTTTGTTCACTCCAAAGAGAAAATATAGACAGGGTTGATCACAGTGCATAGTTAGGAAGGATAAATAAATTTGATAATACTAGCAAACATAAAATACTTGTTATTAACAATCAATCATAAGAAGGAAAGACCAGTCTGCCTGATATCCTATTATTCTGCTTTTTTTTTTAAATATAAATTAATTAGAGTTGTTGAGGAGGCTATGGTCTAACTATAGGGAATGGAATGGGTTAGTGATCAGTATTCAGAGCTCTCCTCTGCACTTTCAAGCAGTGAGTACTGGCTCCTGCATTTGATCCCATATCACAAGACCAGGAGATTGTAACAAGAAGCAGGAGAGGAAGCATGCAACAAACCTCTTCCCTCACCAGATCAACAAAATGTTCTGGGAGTGGTTTATAGTTTCACAAATATAGCCATTCCTGCCAAAGTCTCTACAGCCACCCTACTCATCTGAACAAATGGAACTTCTGGAGATGTGGTACATGACAGGCATGAGTGCTTGTCCATCTCTTCTACCTGGCAAGATCAATATCGCTTTGGACACCTGCAATGAATCAAAAAATCTGCAAGAACCAAAGTTTTACAATCTGGTTCCAAAAGTTTGGGTGAGCTAATTGATTTCAGGACTGGTCCAACATCTGTCCTATGTTTTCTTTCCTCCAGTCATTAAAGAGAAGGAAATAGGGCTCTGAAGCTTCCTTTGAAATTTTTAAAATACCTAATATAGGTGAGACACACTGAATGAGTCTCACTCACCAAAAGCAGCCCTCACCAATCTTGATTATCTGGCCAGGCCCATCAATAGCAGGTGAGACAGTATATGCACCAATGAGGACCTCTCCAATGGCACTTCTCCAATCAACAGTAGTTCTTTACTTGTAGGGTGGTGAACACGTGGAATGCATTAGATGATGACATAGAAGCTGCCCATTCCATAACTATTTTCAAGAAGAGACTAGATGCTTTTATGGACAAAGAAAAAAGGGGAGGAAATGTAGATGAAAGGGACTAGGCAGTAAGCAACTAGGATAAGCAAAAAATAAAAATAAAATAAAAATTACAAAAATAAAAAAATATTCAGATTTAAGAGCAGTAGACCTACCCTAAAATTAAGGAGCACTCATCCTTGACACTCAATTTTGTATCCAAATAGGGGTAATATAACAATGACCATATTGTCCCCTGATACCACTATCCAACTTTGATACTTGGAAATAACCTGCTGAAGTCACACAAGTGAAGTCAAGACTACATGCTGGTCAGTTGATGGCTCTGCACCCATCTATCAACCAACTAGGAAACATTAGAATGTTGGAGTTATCTAAAGTAATCCAATCTGAAAGGTGACTTTAAAAAATTAGTCACTGACTTTCCTTATACCTCATACATCCAATTAGCCAAGACAGTCAGTACTGCAGGACATGTGAGAGACCAACTCACTTCCAGATGCATGGGTCATAATTAATAAAATGTTCTTTACTTGAGTCAGAATTTTTTATTTGACTCAGACATGTAAAGGATGTTCTCCATGCATGTGTTTCCAATTCAAATGAAAAATGTCTGACTCAAGTAATACAAACATGGTGAAGCACCACGTCCCATCCATTTATAAATTTGAATCCTGAAATGGTTCAGTCCTCATTGGAAAGTAGTGCCCATGTAATGAAGGTAGGGTATGCATGGCATGATCACAGGGAATGGCAGGGTGCACTAGACCAATGGCATAGGCTGGGTTTCAACAAAGGGGGGGCTACTGACATCTCCCCAGCGGGGAGGGAGGGGGGAGAGGATGGTTGATGCATTTCTACCAGTATTGGGGGATGAGGCTAGAACCAAACTTGGTGGGGCTTCAGCCCCCCCCTCACTAAGCCACTGCACTAGACTACAGAATACCATCAAAGTGAATACATGAGAATGAAGATTCCAGAGATCTCACTCAATGCAGGGGATGAAGAAGGCTTAAAGCCTGTAGAGAGCCTCTCAAGGGATAAATGCTTAATCTGATGTGACAATTGGCATTATTTTTCATCACAAGCTTGGAAGGCAACATTGGAATTAGACTTAAAGTAAAACAAAAAAATATTTTCTGCCATCATGCCACAATTGGTGATTAGCCTAGGCATATGATTTGGAACTCAATCAAGTTTAAGAATTCAAATATGGGAATCTTACTCATTTTTATTGACAAAGAGGATATGAAATTTCATCTGGTAAGGCTACACGACTCATCAATGCTAATTTGCACACACCTTCCTTTCTCTTGCTTCGTTGTGCAAAAATATTCAAAATAAGATTCTCTCCCTGCAGGCCTTCAGGCCCTTCACAATATAAAAGTTTGACGCATTTGCGACGTTTTGACGTGCACGCCGGGTCTAAAGTCAGGCGAAACACGTGGGCCTGTTCTAAGACCTTCTTAAAAAGCCGAGGAGGAATAGACATTTCCGCGGAGATCCTGTCAAAAGGCTTTTCCGGCATGGGCCACTTCAGCTGATCGGCGAATTGACCAGATCGTACCAGTACATCGCGAGGCGCGCTTCTGTACCGTCACGTTGTGACGTCACTGTGACGTATGGGTCATAGTCTGCTCCGAGAAGTGGAGGGAGGCGTTCGCGTGATCTCACCATTCCCATCCGATCGCGCCATGACGAAGGATCCTCGCGGCCATTTCCCTTTTTTCGCGGGACGCTTGGGAGTTCCCTTGAGCGCCATCGAGTGGCTCGAACGATTCTCTGCTGGTTTGTCCTTCGGGTTTCACTTCTGAGCGAAATGCGGAAAATCCAGACGTGGTCTCGCTTCTTTGTGCGTCCTGTCAAGGGCGTCTTCCCTTCTCGCTCTTAGAAGCAAGCAGAAACAAGCAAAAGACGTTGCCCTGCGCGATCTTCTTATCGTGTGCAATAAATGCTCGGCATGGCCGTTCCACACAGGGATCTCTCCCAGTTGGAGCTCTAAACAGAAAGGAAAGTCAAGTTTTTCATTTCTTTCGGGAAACAGCATTTTGTTTTCAACTTTCCATGCGCTATACTTTGCTGAAATTTGGTCGTTCTTGGGGGGGCGTTGCCCCCTCAATAATACTGTTGGGGGGGGGGCACGTGCCCCTTTGCCCCCCCCCCGGGTTCGGGGCCTATGNCTCCCCCCCCCCCCCCCCCCCCCTGGGTTCGGCGCCTATGGTGGGAACCAAATTACTTTACATAAAAATGTCTAGTTTTGATTTTCAACGTGAAGACTTGCAGTTTTACTCTTGGGAATTTTTGGTGCTTGTACGTAATGTTGATGCGGCAAACCTTCATATTAAAATTAGGGCTGTCAATTGATTAAAAAAATGTAATCGATTGATCACGAGCCATTTAATCGCTTAATCAGTCGATTAACTGAATTTTAATCGATCGAAGTTTTTAACAAGAACATAGCCAGATGAAGCGCGCACATTGCCATTTAGCCAGCCCATAACGGAAAGATTAAACGGAGATTAATTAAAATTAAAGAATGTAACCGTAACTGATCGGGCGTATAGAGTGACACTTCATTACGCGGAGGTTTAAAGATTCATTAATGATTAACTGGCAACTCAGGATGGAAGAGCAAAAACAGGAGCAAAGCAAGGAATCGGAGGGGGTTTCCCACATTCGCTTCCACTTCTCTCGCCTGCTCCAACCCCCCCCGCTGGGGAGATGTCAGTAGCCCCCCCTTTGTTGAAACCCAGCCTATGCCATTGGTCTTCCCCCCCCCCCCCCCCCCCCCCCCCCCCCCCCCCCTCCTCCCTTCACCTCCTCGGTTACTTACCGGGGGCTCCCACAGACGTTCGCCTCTCACTCCCCCAGTCTTTGCATCCTCTTTCCTGCCTCTCCGGTCCCTTGCCCCCCCCGGACTCCCCTCTGCCTTCCGTGCTTTCCCTTCTGGCTCCTTCATTAAGACTTTCTATTCCCCATTCGCATCCAGTCACTTTTCCGTCAGAAGGACACGGGATGCGGGCCGTTACGCTTGTAATGGGGTCATAATTGTAATGGGGTCAGGAAGCCTTTTTTTCTTGGAATAGTCTGAAAGCGATGGCTTTGTTTTGTGTGTTCACTTTTAAAACTACGGGGGGGAAGAGGCGGGAGGTTGGGGGGGTCGATGAAAATCGCGATTAATACTTTCATCGATTGATCGATCGATTAATTTAGTGGAATTGACAGTCATAATTTTGATGCACGCGAAAGTTTATCGCGGAATCGAAAGTGAGAATTTCCCATTTAGTATCGAGCATGCAAATCATTTGCCCTTGCCGTGATGGATCATCACGGAGGATTTATTCATCTGTGAAGATCTCTCATCCGACTCGAGGGGGAATTGAATGTGGTATTACCACAAATTACCACAAATACTTATCTTTACGGATGAGAAACATGATACATTTTCCAGCCAGGAAAAGTCAAACGCGTTCGTTCGGCCATTCCGTTCGAGTTGAAAGTTGAAAAATGGGAAAAAAACTTCGGATTGCGAGTTAGCTCGATCGCCTCGAAAACGCGGCGCGCCTGTGACAGTTTTGCCTGTAACACCAGGCAAAACCGGATCCAGGAATATCCGCCGTCCATGAAAGCCGCAAAGGCGGAAATGCAGGCGCATGTCGGAACGTGACGGAACGCTAACGACCCCATTTCCACGTGACACGGGGGGGAGGGGGCAAGGGGGGCAGGGGGGGGGGGAAGGAGGGGCAAGGGGGTCGACCCGCTTCGGTTGCCTCGCTTTTCCTGTCGTTTCCCAGACATGTGGGGCCTCGATTGGAAGCACGCGAAGGAACGACGGCTGCCGGGGAACGGGCCCAACCTCTTCCTCCTCGCCTTCGAGGGCCTCAAGGTCATTTCCCTCTCCTTTTTCTTCTTCATTTTTATGCTTATCGATGCTGGAAGTCTTCTTAGTCAAATTCGTTGCATTTCGCGTGTTTTCGATCGAAAAGCCGGACATTTTTTGGCGACCAGTGAGAATCCGTCTAGCACCGTTAACTCTTTCGTGATCGTGTTTTTACATTTTTACATTTTTTACATTTTTACGTTTTTCGTGTTTTTACATTTTTTAATGCGATTTGTGTTTTTATTTTCTATGCGACTCAATTCTAATCTGCCTCGGCCTTCGGTGGGTCGTGGTGAACAACTATTGCCGATTGTGAATTGCCGTCTCGACGCGAGTGCGGAACATTTTTTTTTTCCGCTCGCGACTGCCGACATGAGAGCAGTTCCGACGCTCGCTGAAGTTCCGCAAGAAATGTAGCAAATTTTGGCGGAAAGAAAGCGAAGTTCGTCGGTCACTCTTGGCTCGTTCGAACGAATTACGATTTGAAACCGATTTTTGATCGATTCACGAACGCCCAGGAGACTCAGGTCTCAAAGGTAACCAAAGGTGAGTAAAGGTGACCATAGGTAACCGAAGCCAACCGAGGAAATGATCGCGGTAACCAATTTCACCCGGTGGGCGTTTCCCATTCTGAAAATTCTCGTGGAAGAAAACGAGTTAAAGGGACTTTAAGGGAGGACCGACTGCACGACGCGAAGACTGACGCGATACGTCCATCGATGCAGGATGTGGCAGGGGCGATCGGGAAGCTAGGGACGTTCCTCGAGAAGAGGATGACCGAGGAGGCGATGAAGAAACTAGCGAACCGCTCCTTCGAGAAGAGAACCCCATTCTCCCCGAAGACGTACATCCACCTGAAGACGTACATCCCCCGCTACGAGCGCCTGGTGCCTGACGCGTGCGTCCGCGAAGGGAGAGCGGAGAGAGAACGGAGGTGGAGGCACGTGCTCGCTCGGGCCCGGCGGTTCCAGTTCCTAGGATCCCTTCATCCGTATGGGCCTCTCCCGGCCTGATGACTCGCTTGGAATACAGATCGTGTTGGGGCGAGGTTGCGTCTTTGCTTCCCGATGGGGGAAATTGGCGGATGGGTTGCTTTTCGTGGGTTCGGAGGATCAACGTCGTCCGCGTTCGGGTTCGTCGTTCTCGTGCGAAGTTATGAAGAGAACAGACAGACCAAGGGAATCCATCAAGCGTCAATTAGTCTCGAGTCGGAATATCAAATCCTCTATAATAGCCGGAGAGGAAGCTTTAGCTGGATGAAGGAATTACTATTTTACAATCCACTGTCATCGTCCTTCTTTAGCGATCAGTGAGCAGATGAAACCGGATGCACTCACGAGTCCATTGAACTTCGGAGTCTCCCTGGAAAGTTGCATTAATTTGTATATAACTAGGACTTGAGCATTGCTTCCCTCACTTGTTCAGGTCTCAGAGCGCTGATACATGCAATACGCTTCCAGATTTGCATAATATGGGAAGAGCACTTTGGGTGACAGGATTCACCAGTGACACGTCTTGGATTTTCAGATGGGGAGGGATCTAACTAAGGGCCCCCTCCCTGGGGGGGGGGGGGGTTAAGGGGTTGGGGGGCTTATGTTCCACCCTGGTCTATGCCTTTGGTAGGGCGGAGGATTAACACGAGATTTGCTGGACTGAAAGAGTACAGGGCGACAAAATAGGGTCGGAGGTGATGGTAACATTCAAAAGGGGGAGAGGGGTTGTAACCAGATGCAACCCTGGAAGTCATGAGAAGAAAAAGATAAAGGCATTTAAGCAGGGGATGAAGGGGTCAGAACGAGGGTTGAAACGAGAAACAATGATGGCACGATGGAAGAGTAAATAGCTTTTATGAAATATCTGGAAGATGTAATCCTTGAAACAAAATTGTCGACGTGGATCGCGTGGTGCTTCACAGAATCCACCGTTGATGTCTCTGGCCTCGACAACCATGTATTGGTCCTCAACACATTGACTTCCTGGCCCTGTGACACTTCATGGCTCTGTCAACCCCCCACACGGCAATGTGCTAAAGGGGGAGGGGGGAGAGGGGGAGGGGGAAGGAGTACAGAATGTGAGGACCGTCGGGAAGGATGTCTTCCGTCCTTCCGCGAGTCCATGCTGAGGAATGTCTCTGGATTCCACCGACTGGAAACTTCCCTAACTTTTTTAAGTCACGGCCCTATTTTCTTTCACTATAACTTTCCAAGGGAAAGTCAGATTCAGGTAATATTTGACAGAGATGTTCATGTGTCCATGACTTATTCATTCCCTTACCCAGCACATGGTTCTACATGTTGACAGGTGGCGCTGCAGTCGCACATGCAAAGGTAAGAGACGGAGAATAGGAATTTCCAACAAAAAGGAAAACATCCAGCATTCACTTCACACCCACCAAGAGAAGATGAAACTCTCAGTGCAGCAACGTCTCGTGTTGATGTGCTCTTTATCCGTCCCAATAAGGCCCATCGAATCAGCATTGATTCAACGTCGGTTCAATGTTACGTGCTACTAGGGATATTACCAACAAAGAAACTCGGTAAGGAGAGTCCTCGCGCTCCTTCACATTTCACCTTCGCGCATGCAATCACTGCGCCCTCTGTCGATAGGTAGAAATATGTGCCGGGCAAGGGAACGAATAGGCCATAGACATAATAACATCTGTCAAATATCAGTGGCATCTGACTTTTCCTTAGAAAGTTATGATAAAAAGTTCAATTGTTAGATACAAATGCAACTTTGTTTGACCATATCTTTTGAAAAAAAACTCTCGGATGCAGATGATAATTGGCAGAGGGATTCATAGGCCTAAACTAATTTTTTTTTTTTCTAGTGGCTAAAATATGATAGCTAGTAGGTAGGTGGCGTTGCTGTCGACATTATCGCCCTACTACAACGCGCAACTAATAATTAATATTTATTTTCCCACTGACAAAAGCTGGAAACCTCGCACTGACGCATCCCTTCAAGATGCACTCGCCCAGCATCCATGCCGAGGGTCGACGATCGAAGCGGGAAGAGGCGGGAATCTCCAAAACGGGGGAAAGATCGGTCATGCGAAAATATCTATCGTTTGCTTCGGCGATTACGTCTTTGGTCGTCGCCGTGTTGGGAGTTGCAATTTTTATGCAAATTTGCATCCTCTATCGACTTGTGCATGAACGGTGGAACGTAGGTCACTGAATTTACACGTCTGGCTGGTGAGAACAATCGAATGTTTTTTTTAAAATTATTTGTGGGGTTTACTGGTTCCTTCGAATTTACTGGTCCTCGACGTACAATTACAGATAGATAATTGCCAAGTTGACGGGAAAATATGCTCAGGGAATGAGAATGATCCTCAAACGTGGACGGCGTATCTTCAGGGAGATATGCCAGGTCTCACAGGGACAAAGACGCAATCTGGAAATAATAATAAAAAAAACGGAGAACGGTTGTTTACGGGCGACCTTGGGTCGCTCCTTCCTGTTTTGGACCAATATCGGCTGCCATGGCGACGATGTTATCATATCTCGCCTTCTTCTCTCTCTCGCGACGCGATTGATTTTCGCGGAAACGCTGGCTGGTTTCTCGTCTCGTTTCGGGTTTTGTCTGCTTCGATTCGTGCCGTGGGTTGTTCGGTGCCATCGCCTGTAGCAGGTCGCGGGTCGCGGGTCCAGTCTCGTTAAGTCGTCAGTCTGAGTATATCGTTCTGTCGGAGGAGCTTCACTGCGACAGGAGGAATGGCAACGACGACTCGGAGGGATGGCGCGATTGTGATCGAGAAGGACTTGGACGATCACAACGGCCTTGCGACGGACATTTTCGAGTGTTTCAAGACGGGACCCAGCTGGTGCGACGTCGTCATCCTCATCCAAGATGACAAATTCTATTCCTGCAAGGGGATCCTCGCCTCCGTCTCCCCCTACTTCCGCCAGATGTTCTCCACCGACTTCAAGGACTCCTCCCAGAGGGAAATCAGACTGGAAGGTGTAACCACGAAAGGATTCGGGGCGGTCTGGGATTACATCCACGGAACGAGAGTGGAGGTAGAAGGGGAGGAAGGGGCATTGGACACTCTTCGAGATGCGCATTTCCTCGGTCTCAAACGCCTCTTCCACAAAACGAGCAAGACCATCAAGACGTTGCTGAATCCTGACAATGCCGTACGGGTTCTCGAAACTGCCGAGCAATACGGCGACAAGGATCTAAGGGAAGCTGCTATTGGATTCATATCGGTCCGTTTCAGCAAGGTCATCCGCACGAAGGACTTCCTGAGCGTCTCGTTCCAGGCCTTGGCATCGTTCTTGGACCGAGACGAACTGGAAGTGAATTCGGAGAAAGAGGTTTGCGAAGCGACGAGGAAATGGTTGGAGCACGATGGAAACCGGCAGCGACACGCGTCGAATCTGATGGGGAAAATTCGTCTCTCGCTCTTGCCTCGCGAATACTTGGAGACGGTGCTCCGAGGGGATCCTTTAATTTGCGGGGATTCGAAATGCATCGGTGACGTCACGGATGCGATCGACCGACGTGATTCCCAGGTCTGTCAGAGGGTCGGCAGGTCCAGGTCGCTGTTGCTCTGGTGCCTGGGGGAGAAGGACAGGAAAATGAAGATATGTAGCATCGACACCGACAGTTGGGAGTTGAACGAGGCCGCCGACTATCCGTTCGGCGAGGTCGACTTTTATCGAGGGGCCTTCGCAGGAATCGACAGGAAACTGTGCGTGAGAGGAATGGTCGAGATGAAAATATTCGACGTGGACAAACTGGAATGGGAAGAAGCGCCGAAGCATGAAGAATTCGTTCGATGGCCGGCGACTGCCGTCTGCCCCGGGTCCTTCTTCGTCTGCGGGGGGCAAGGTCGAACGAGCGTGGATCAGAAGTGGGCGTTTTTGTTTCGAGATGGAGTCGGGGCGGTGGGTGCGGCTGAGCGACATGGCGTACGGCCGGTATGGCGCCGGAGCGGGTCATCGCGACTCGTGTCTTCATGTCGTCGGTGGGTACGGCAAGGAGGCCTCGAAGAAGTACGAGCGGTTGGATCTCCGCACGTCCAGATGGGAGGAGTTGGCCGAGCTCCCGCAAGGCAGACAGAATCCGGCCGTCGCGTTTCGAGACGGCGAGCCGATCCTCGCCGGCGGCTGGGCCGGCGGAGACAAGCGGGAAGTGTACGTCTACGACGAGAGAGCGGACGCGTGGGCGGAGAGGCAGGGCATGGCGCAGGGACGGCGTTCGCACGGCCTCGTGTCCATGGACGGGAGGCTCTTCGCCGTCGGGGGGTTGAGGAATCCGTCGGTGGAGGTCTGTGATGGGTCGAGGTGGGAGGTCGTGAAGAAGTTTCATTTGACCGATTGTGAGAGAGCTTGTCGAATGGTCGTTCCGTGAAATGGATTTCGTTCCGATCCCTGGTGGGAGGTCCGGATTCATGCTGCTCCATGAGGCGATGAGGATTTCGTGAAGGGCTATCTTAGATATCACGTAGTTGTGCGAATTCGCGTTCTTCAGCTTGACTAGTAAATCTGAAATCCCTACCATATAAATAGAATGAAGTTAGGGAAGTTTCCAGTCGGTGGAATCCAGAGACATTCCTCAGCATGGATTCGCGGAAGGACGGAAGACATCCCTCCCGACGGTTCTTACATTCTGTACTCCTTCCCCCTCCCCCTCTCCCTCTTTAGCACATTGACTGCCGTGTCAGCCAATGGGATTGACAGAGCCATGAAGTGTCACAGTGCCAAGAAGTCAATGTGTTGAGGACGAATACATGGTTGTCGAGGCCAGGTACACAAACGGTGGATTCTACGAAGCACCACGCGATCCACACATCTACCATTTTGTTTCAAGGATTACACCTTCCAGATATTTCATAAAATCAATTTACTCTTCCATCGTGCCATCATTGTTTCTCGTTCCAACCCTCGTTCTGACCCCTTCATCCCCTGCTTAAATGTCCTCATCTTTTTCTTATGTCCTTCCCAAGTATGACTTTTAGGGTTGCATCTGTGGGGGGGATTGAATGGGCTATCTTTGATATCCC